GGCAAAACTCTTGAAAACATCTTTTAGCACAGAAGACAAGCACGCACCACACCACAGATGCTTGAGAACTCCCTTTGCAAGGTGAGATCTGCTCCCCGTGACCCAGTACAAGCTGACCAGCAGTGAGTGAACAAGTGGGTACCGCAAAGAAGACTGCTTGGCCTCCTTTGCGTGGTGGGACCACCAGGGAACAGCACTGCTAGGAGCTGAGCTGCATGGACAAACGTGTGCTGGGAGCCACCTCAGGTGAAATGCCAAAGCATCTTTAATAAATAAAACAATTTCTCTCAGTTGCATCAAAACATCAGGGAGCTTCTGAATCTGAAGCTTTGTCAAAACATCAGCCCAGCCCTCCTGTGTAGAAGGAAATAGACCTTTTAACTCCTTGTGCAAATTTATACTTTCCTAAGTGCAGCCTTTTAGAAACAGCTATAGCCAGGGGTGCAATTAATTCAATTCTTTCCAGAAGATTTTTAGGTCTGTACAACTCATGTATTATTTAAGCCTCACAGCTAAACCGTGAACATTATCAAGATACAGCTTTTTCATGGGTAGGGGGGGTGGGCAAGATGTTTTGGTTAAAGAAAAAGTCCCACAACACCCTCAAAACCCCCAGATTCCCCGGCTACTACTAGAGTCCTTCCATTTCTGCTGTGAGTTTGATGGTACCTGACTCTCCATCAGCAGGTCTGTTTCAGCAGGCTCCCTGCTGTGCCCAGCCCCAGATTCCTATAGCAGCATCAAGGGAGCATCACCTGTGGTAACAGCCTCAGTCAGGCCATTTTGTCTTGTATCTGCACTCCTAGCAAGATTCGGGTCCCCTGGACGATGACGCAGTAGAACATAGCTGACCTGGGTAACTGAAATCAGCTGGATGAAGAATCCTTATACATAGAGACAGGTGCCATTAGCAAACAAGAAATGTCTATTCTGTAGTTACATAAACATTTTTTGTAACAGTTATCATGATTGAGAAAGTGCCAGCTTTAAACACCTCATACAACAAACACATTGGCTTTGCTACTGGCCTGCATTTTGCCTTTAGGAAAGGTCTGAGGGAAACCAGCTCTCTGGAGCAAAACAGAATCAGCTTCTCCCTGGCAGTCTGATGTATTCAAACACTGGGGAAGCATGTGTAAAAATGAGGGTAGAGCTTTACTGGCAAGAATTTATGTGGTCTTCCTTGCATTTCCAAGACCTAAACCAACAGTTTAATGAGCAAGCACTGCCCAGCAGAAAGTCACCTGCACAAGGAAGTCAGTCTCCCATTCACAAGAGTCCCAGAGACACAGAGGTGGTCCTCCTCCCCTCAGCAACATTTGGCTCTAGTTAGACAGCAAGTGTGTAGCTAAAGCCTACAAGCAAATACCAAACATATGATAGGACCTATACTTTCTCATGGCCAGACAGTTAGTAAAAAAGACTTGTCTTTGAAGAAATAGAACCTGGATTTAAACATACCAAATGCTAGGTTCTTCATTGCTCAACAGCCATTAAACGCATCAAGTATGCACAAACAGAACAGTGACCGACACTGACTGAACAGCATTCACATCCAAGAAGTCACATAGAGACCTAGCCAGTGCCCAGCTCCCAAGAGGCTGACTTGTTAGGGTCACTGATATCACTTTTAGGAGTCCTAGCTCTATCGGTTTTTAAACAGAAACACATTTTTAATAAATCTGCATTACTGCATGTTCCAACTGCTGTAGCTGTCAGTCAGCTTCCCATGAGTTAATACTTCTGTGTATTCAGAGCAGTTTGGGAACTGGAGGTTGTCTTGTCACTTCCATGCTCTATAAACAGTATAGATGCTGGAATATGGTAATATTTACTCCTGTTTTGCCATCTGCTTATATACGCTCATAAAACATGTGACTCTCAGAATGTGAAGTGGCAGAATAACAGCTGTAGCTTTTCATGGCAAGATAAAGGTACAAAAATCAATACACATCTTTTCTTTTTAATGAAAAAGCTACTATTGCACAAAAGAAAGAAGAATATTTATAGTAAAAAAAAAGTAATTTTAAAAAGCTTTCCAATAGAAGATACGCCATAGTTTTAGCTTTTACTAAAGAGTCAGTGTCTTAAAAAAAGAACCCAAAACCCTCCACCCAAATGCCTACCATCTCAATTAGGCAATCAGCAAAAAGCAAACCAACCCAAAACCAGAGGACTAAGTTATCTTCAGAAGAAGAAATCCATCTCAGCATCTTGACATACCTTAGAAAAAAACAACTTCTAGTATTGATTTCCACACCAAAGAGAAGTTCTGTTACCCTCCTCCCTCACACAGCCTGAGCAGAACCCGAGGAAGGAAGCAGACAACTACACAGCAGCATCAGCCTAACAACAGCCTCCAGCCCAGGTATTGTCCCTAGGCACAAAACATAGCAAGTACTGCCCCCACCCACAAACAGGTCCCCATGCAGGTGAAGCTCCTTACTCAGGTGTTTATTGTAAAAGTCAGTGCTAAAGACAGACCTAAGATTGGGACTGTGTTTAAATAGCTCTCTAAATAAAGATCAGCATGGCCAACTGAAGTGTAAAGACCCTCTGCTTCCCTCAACCAGCAAATTAATCCAAACACTGAATTAGTGTTTAAAATGGTACACCATATCCACACACAGGCTCCTAGCCATACAGGAAAGCGCCCAAGACAATTTCAGCATTGCACATTTTAAGAACAGAATGAAATATGCAAAAGCTATTTCCTAGGGCAGAACCCAGCACAGATAGCACTAGAGTTCAGTTCCTTCTTTCTTTAAAAAAAAGCTGATAAAGAAAAGTGGATTGACCAGAGGGCTGATGCCTCTGCCGGTCTCCAGGCAATGTGAGATAAGAATTTTGCACTATCCCTGACCTTAGGACACAAATTCTTTGGATATTGAGGGTATTTGGGTTGTTTTGATTTGGTTTTTTTCTTAGGGCAGGGAAAGCACTGTTGTGGGGTGGGGCATGTCTGTTTTAAGGGCAATCAGAATGAGAGCATTTGAAATAGAGTTGTGTGATGTTTCATAGAAACCTCAAACTCTCCACAGCCAGAGAAGGATGTCAGAGCCCCATAACCATTTCTGCCCCAGCTTGTTGTTCCCATACAGAGAGTGCTATTGACTTGTTAGTTTCCCAAGCAGAGCAGCTGGCTGCACCTTACACTTTGCAAGGGTGCAGTGCTTCTGTTATTACCTTTCACCAAGTCAACTCATTGTTGAACGCTTGGTTGGGGCACATAAGTTACTTACAACCAGTACTTTAACCCAGAAGGGTTCATACTTTCACACTTTCACTTTCTTATGACTGTGAAAATAAATCTATGTTCTGTATCCCATCCCACTCCAAATGAAGCTGCTGTATCCCAGGCCATGCCATAGACTAGTGCCTATGAGAGCGCAGTCGTAGGAAGTAGGTCTCAGCCTGAGCTTCAGGCACCCCACTACATCCAGATGTGGATACCCTCACCCCAGTTAAGGTTACACACACACCTAAGCCCCTCTTGGTTGAAGACTGTGATTCATGACATTTAGGGAATAAAGATAATTTTTACAGAACTGTACTTTTATCAATGTAAAGAGACAGCAGCTGAACTCAGAGCAGGTATGAAAGAGAACATTCAATGTCTTGTGTGACTATAAAGGAATTAAAAGACTCATTTTACAGTGCATTTTAATTAAAAGTTCATTATAAGAATTTTCTTTTAAGAACAGCATACTACATATTAATGGAAATATGTAACTTTATCCTACAAATGGGACTGTCACCATATTATTCTTACAATTCAAACATATGAAAAATAAAATGATATTTAGCTTTATAAATTCCCCCTCTCCCCCCCCTTAAATTATTTTTCTTTTAAATAACAAAAGTATTAACTCTTTCCTGGTACAGTGCATTTGCTATCTGTGAGCCACAAACCAAGTAGTCACATCAATGCCAAGGAAACAGCAACATTGTTTGCAAAATATTGAGAGAAAATGATAAAAAAATATAGTAGTCAGCCCAGTGCTTACAGAAGAGACAGTCAACAATTATTGAAAAAACATCACATTTTCATATTACGTAGAACCTTTATAATAACATAGAAAACAGTGCAGAAGACTTATGCTGGAAAAATATATAGCGATTCTCAGCAAGCAGAAACTGAACTTTGGCACTTGCTCATAAAAAGGCCTTTCAAAGCAAACAAAATGGAAATTCACCTAATCACAGCTTGTATATTTAAAAAAAATAAAGACATTGACTAAAGCAAGAGAAACAATAGAGAAAAGTTTACAAGCCAGGTCACTACAAATTCAGTACATTCAGCCTACAGAAAATACAAATACAATCTTTCATTCATCCATCTACACTGGGATTCTGGCTAGCGAAAGACAGGCTTTGGGACAGAACCTTACCTGAAGCATCTCTGTTTCAATGGAGCTATGCTGGTTACACAGCCCTTTCTTCAAACTGAACTAGAATAGCATGTCTCAAATACATTGCCTCATCATAAAATAAGGATTTCTAATCTGCAAATTAAAAAGCAAGACCCTTGCACTCAGACAGTGGCTGTTCTGCTCTAGCCATAGTTGCACCATAACCACTGTAGTGCAAGGATTAAGTGATTTATTTAAAAAGGGCTAAAAAAGAATGGCTTCAATTCAAAGTCAAGAAAATAGACTGGAAGGAAGGATTCACATTTAGCCTGTTAATCTTAGATCTTTGTCAGCACTGCACATTATCAAAAGGAGTACTATACTAACATGTGCACAGCTGTTCCCCCCTCCCTGCCAGAAGAACTGATGAACCAAACTTGGGCCTAACTGAAAGGCTGCTGCTGGCCAAAGCATTTTTTTGGATCAGGCCATAAGAAATCAAGGGCTGGCTTAGCCAAGAAGTGCTTCTTTCACTGTCAGGCTCAATGCCCAAAACTAGCAGCTATCTTTGCACTGAGGCAGTTTACTCAATTTTTCTACTCTTTTGAGGAGTTAAGATGGGGAAGGGCAGAGAGAAAAATAAGTGCTTTAGATTCCACAGAAAATTGTCCTACTAAAAGGGGCACTTGAATGGGGAACAACTGCAGCTATAAGTTTACGCTCTTCACATGTCTCCACAGGCCATTTAGTAGCACCTCCAAACACATCAACGTTGTTATCAACCCAGGGTATGATGTTGCCAGGCATGTTGGTAGAGCAGTTAGCAATATTCATGATGTCTTCAGCTCTTAAGACCCTGTCCCATATATTGAACTGGCTCATCTCCCCAACGAAGGCTTGAGTGGCATCAAATCTTCCTCCTACTGTGTCCTTTAGGTACACAAGAGTTAGGATTAGATGACAAGGTTATTTCAGCATTTTCTTCTTCAAACTTGAAGACACTCCCCCAGCCACATTGCTAGAAGGAGGTGCAGAGCTAGGTCACAAAGATGAACAACTTCAAGTTTCTAGAAGGGCTACTTCGAACAAGTTGTTCTATGGAACAGTTAAAAACACCAATCTGAAATGTGTCAAAACAATTCAAAGCAAACAGCAGTGACCATATACCACCACACAAAGGCTATACTTAACTAGCTCTGCCCCCAAGCAGCACAGCAGGAAGGCAGCTTTAAATATTGAGGCTAATTTAGGAGCCATTTTGCAAGCTTGGCACAGGACAACTTCAGCAAGAACTGCATAGATGTGTAAGATTACTCCAAAAACTTTATGTCTATAGATTAAACTGTAACTGCAGCCTTTGAGCAATTGTCTGCAGGGCCTATAAGTTGCAATCTTTGGATCTAAATACACATGCTTCTTCTGATTACCAAATGACTAACTCAAACTGCTACTGCATAAGCCTAAAACTGTTTGCTTGCTCCATCCACTACTCAAGGACAGAAATCACACATTTTGTGTGATCACACTAACATGAAACTGATAGCGTAGGACAGAACCACGCATAGTACAGGCAAACGGCATGAGAGTTACAGAAAAGCTGCCAGCCACTTAATGAGCTGGAGCTTCTCCTATGCAGAGTGCATTAGGATTCTGAATTTACCAGTCATTTATGTCATGGATAAGTATCTACTAAAATCAGGATCAGGACAAAACTGAATTTTTTATCACCCCATTGTGAACCTGGGAATCCTGGAGAAAGGCTTTTTCCTGCTACTCATTACAATTTTTTTTTTTATAATATGTATATAAAATCACACAAAGAACAAGTAAAGCAAAAAATGTGAAGGTAAGAGCCACACAATTCATAGCTTAATGAGACATTAACTAGAAGACCAAGATTCAAAATCCTGTGAGGTTTTTTTTCCAATATTCAAAGAGGACTTATACTTAACCTCATGAATGCTTTCTGTTGGCAGTGCTAATATTCAAACTTTATTAGCATTTGCATGAGGAGAGTTATTTACCTACATTTTAATGAGAAACCAAATGTCTGATATAGAGTTTGTCCCTTTGACTTCAGGCTCATCTTTAATATAGACATCAAACTCTGACTGAGTGACACACTCCACTGTTCTAAAAACATGTTACATACCTGAAAAGCTGTGGAATTCAGTCTGGTGGGAGCTCTCTCGAGCAGGCCAAATTATAAAAGATCCTGATACACCCACAAGCACTTCAGTGCCTGTAGTTGTTGGTCCCCTCACCCCCATACACGCACTTTGCTTGGTCTATGCTAGGGCTCAAGGACTAACGTTCTTATCATTTTTGGGATAAGGAGGAAACAAGAGGGAAAACCACTAAACTGATAAGGGGGACAGTCAATTTGGCTTCAAACAAAAATAAATTAAAACAAAACAAATCAAAGCAATTATACTTGGTCCACTTTCAGCAAGCTCCTTTTTGACTGCTCATATAACAGTGCTGGCCAATTCTGTGCTTCTCTCTAACTTCAGTGGCCACATTGCTAGTTACCAGCAATTTAGCTCAAAGGATTTAAGGCATTATTCAGATCACTGACAAAGTTGCACACTGTAGCACTAAGCGTGGGGATAGGAATAGCTGCAACATAAATATTCTGAATATTTAATAAATGAAACAAGATATACTTAATGCAATCACACATTGGTATTTGTTGCTTTGTTTCAATCTTTCTGATACCATGTATATAACAGGACCAAATGTTTAACAAAGAAGTTTTCTCACAGCTGCTGTTTGTTTGTGAAGTTTTGATTTTTTTTTTGTTAAACCCTGGAACACACTCATTCACTCACCTGTTCCTGACCCAGGATCAAGACACCTCCAGGTTTAATTGGGTGCCAAGGAGCAAGATTCTCCCCAGTGCCAAGCTTTTCTCCATCTTGAAAAGCCTCCCACATTCCATCTCTGGTTGTCCATGTTATACAGATATGATGCCATTTTCCATCACTAATGAAGAGAGGGAGCTGAGCAACCTACAAAAAAAAAAAATAACGCATGTTGCAAACCAAGTCCACCAGCTCAAACTCAACCTTTAAAGTCACAGTAGTTATTCTGTCCTCAGAAGCAAAAAGTTCAGAGGCAGAAGTTAGTCCACATCTTTCTACTTTGTCCCAGGTCTCCTGTATTCAGGAATACAGCCATGCTTTTTATTCTAGATGTGAGCCTTTATTTCATCTAGGACCAAGTGACGCAAGTACCAGAGTCTAAGCTGCTATCAATCCACTGATCCTGCATATTAATCTGTAGCATTTGTTGTTTAAATCCGAGTGCCTAGTCCTAACTTTCCATCCAGTGCTCCTGTTAAGTTTCTCTTAAAATCCGGGGTCTGCCTCCACCGTAGGCAGTAACAGCTCTGACAAATGGATCTGCCTGCTTCCAGTAAAACCTGTGGGAACTGTTACAAAGGGCTCCAAATAAGGAGGAATTACACTCCTTTAGGAATTTGATCTGAAAACTTACTCAAGTCAACATAAAGACACAAATGCAGTGGGCTACAGAGCAGCTGTCATGTGGGAAAAAGAAAAGCCTCACAGGACATTAATAGTACTGACATAATATTGGAGAGAAGAAGCTATTGCTAAAGATAAGCAGACTCAAGTTTCCTTCTCTTGACAAACCACTAAAAATAATTGGCTTCTCACTTGTATTGATTTGGGAGGATAACAGGACCACTAAAAGTCCTTAACTAGCTACATGACTGAACAACCTGAGTTGTGTTCTAGATCTGTAAACACCTGATCCCTCAGAGAGCAGCAAGTTACTAGGAAACCTAACCAAGGTGGGGAGAAAGAAAGTATTTATAATCTGTTTTAACACCAAGTTTCAACAGGTCTCATTTCCATAGAATCATAGAATGGCCTGGGTTGAAAAGGACCATAAACATCATCTAGTTTCAACCCCCCTGCTGTGGGGGGTTGTGTTTTCCTCAAGCCTCATTCTGAAGCTTGTCAGAAACCACCAGTGGTACTAAGTAGTGTGACAGAAGTGTTGCTTTTTGTATCTAAAGTCTAAAAAATTTGTATTTAAATTGATGTTCAGTCCCTAAGCATAACAAAACCAGCCACAATTACATGCCTTTTGTTGTCTTCTGCAAAATTCATTTTAACGTATCTGAACTTCTAGAATTAGAAAGATAGAAATACTATAACTGGCTTAGATCTCACAGGTTTTGCAATAGTGTGGCTTCAAATATTGCTTCTGTTTCACAAAACAAAAAACCCAAGAAGACAAGATCTGCTTGTAAAGTCCGAAAACACGCATAAGTGTGTGCACATCTAGATGTCACGCTGCTTTGCCTCAGCACACCAATGTATGTACCATTTGACTTTGTCTTGAGTACTTTCATGAACTTGCAACAAACAGATGGACAACAACAGACAAGTAGACACTACCATCTCAAAGGCCCAGAGCTCGCTTCTCTCAGAGAGAATGAAAGAGTTGCTAGAGAGGTACCACAGGTTCAGGCCTTGTTCTGATTACGTAGACAATAAAGAAGAGTTAGACAATTCTCACCTTATCATTAATTAGCAGTTCAATTGGATTATTGCCCCATTCTATGAGGACAATCTCATTAGCCTGCCCAGGAACAGCATATGAGAATGGAGTGCCAATTCCAGGAGAAGCACTTGATCTCAACCACAAGCAAACAGTAAAAGCATACAGCTCTGGCAGAGTCTTCTTGATCTTCCCATATAAGTAGTTTGTGCGAAGAGGAAGGGAGACTTTGAATTCATCAGGTGACTTAAATGCACTGTTACCTAGAATTACATTGAGGAAGAAAAACCTTTAACATTACACAAAACAATGTATTTGTAATTCAGGTTAAGAAACAATATAATTGATATTGAGAATCTTTGGATTTTAATCACTTTAGAGAGGTACACAAAAAAACCTGAAGTAGTATTACTGAATATTAATTTTGCAGCACAAAATAATGCTACTAGATTTTATACACATCGTGCTAATTACTTCTTTCCTGCTCATTTAGAGCAAAAGAATAGACAGCAGACAAGTAACAAGAAGCTGTTAAATATTTCCTTTCTTCATGGCTTAGTTCATGGATGGAGGCCTGCCTGTTTCAAACAATTCAAACTGTTTTAAAATCTATTTACTGTTAGTAAACATGGATTCTCTGGTATGCTCCTTATTAAAGTATCACAGTGCTTTGAAAACAGTATTTCTTTTCCTACTACTGCAACACAGGGAGCTAGCAGCAGCATCCCCATTTTACAGATAGCAGGCTGAGAAACAGGTCAGTGCTCTCATTTTGGGTGGCCAATCTGAAATACGAAAAAGCTGAAATATTCCAGAAAGCAGAGTTAAATTCAGTAGAACCGATTTCTGTCCTATTGACATATCAGGAGGAGATCTGAACAAAAACATAAAGCTGAAGTTCAAAGTGACCTGAAGAAAATGCAATATAAAGTTATGAACTACAAAAACAGTACACATTTGTTTTCATATAAAAGCAGAAATTATTATTTAGCTTTTTTTTAAAAGATGTGATTAAAAAGTGAGATATTCCACACCGATGTTTATTAAGTTGAAAGCGCTTAGAATCAAAACTTTCTAAAGTTGCAATACTCTGTATTACATAGCTTGTGTATATTTCTGATGTAGTTGCTTACAAGTAATTTTCTAGAATTAAATATTAAGAAGAAATTCCACATTGTGCCACAAAATAAAACCCCATCGTTCCATACTAGTCACACTTGACCTTTTAACAACCTGTTCTTCTGAGTCCCACTGATTTCCTTTACCCACATTCCAGAAACAAATTCAAACCTCTTGCCAAACTTCACACCCCAAATCCAATGAAGAGCTCTTGTCACAAAAGGTTGCCACAATTCTCATATGTAATTTTTAAATCTTTGGCATTCTCTCAGTTCCTATCCTCAGAAGCAACTGAAGTGTTTTGACTGCATTTTTCACAGAACAAGGGGGTGGAAGAAAAAGACTGTCTGATGTCTGCATCTGTCTTGAGGAACTTAGAGACCAAAACCTGAAATATTCTAAATTCCAAGCAAAAAAAACAAACCCAGGATCTTAGGGCTAATGTTGAGCAACCTCCACTAGGCTGGTACGACCAATCTCACATATTAAAAAAAAAAAAAAACATACTCCATTAAGAGCATTAGTCATTCTGTGAAAGAACTTAAGGAAGCAATAATGGGTTAGAAAAGAACAAAAAATACGCATCTTTTTTATATTTTTCAGTTTGTTCTCATGACTTGAAAACATCCCCAACTCCAAACGATAACAAGATCTTCCTGTTCTGAGCAACAGGCACATGCACGTGCACAGTATAAGACAACACTTTTCATAGAGAATCTGAATTATATTTGGACAAGATGGGCAAGAAATATTGTTATTCCCTTTTAGAGATGGAGAAAAGATTCAGACACAGCAAGTGACTTGTTCATGTCTCCAGCAAAGCTAGGAATCACATTTAAGTCCAGGCACTGATAGTTGCAGGATCATTCCTCTACCCAGTCCTGCTTTTTAATTCATCATCTAGTGTTGTCGATGGAGACAACCAGCGAAGGAATTACTGGAAGACTTTGGGAATCAACAGTTGTACAAACTTCAAACTCTTCTGTCCCACTGGTAACTAAAGACAACTGTCACAACTACAGCTAAAAAAAATCCGAAGTTCATAGTGTCACCTTATAACATTAGTACTTAAAGGGGGCTAAAGGAGAGATGGGGGGGCACTCTTGATCAGGGTGAGTGGAGTGATAGGACGAGGGGTAATGGTTTCAAGCCGGAAGAGGGCAGATTCGGATTAGATATTAGGAAGAACTTTTTACTGTGAGGGTGGTGAGGCACTGGAACAGGTTGCCCAAAGAAGTTGTGAGGTGTTCAAGGCCAGGGTGGATGTGGCTTGGAGCAACCTGATCGAGTGAAAGTTGGAACTGGATGATCTTTAAGGTCCCTTCCAACCCAAACCATTCTATGATTCTATGAAGATGGCATTTAAAATAAAAGCACATCAAAAATACTATTTTCAAAAGAGGCCAGATCACTTCAAATATTGTCTGCATTTAATCTACAAAATCATTAAGTTCCTAGATCATTATTACCCTCACTTTGATTTGACAGAGGAACCAACGCCACACAACAGCTAAGCTGCACTGTAATAGAGAGCAAATGACATAGCCAAAAAGAACCCTGTGTCTTGTTTCCTGGCCCAAATTCTTCACGTCCCTGGATACTTAAGACAGCACTCCCTCCCCACACAAAAAAATAAAGGTGGGAACAGACTATTTTTAGCCTAACTAGATTACACATTCTTGTTCCCCCATCACTCTCTCTTTCTGATGACTTGCTGATATGAGTCACATCTTTCAGAGACAAGGACTGGCAATACTTGCCACATAAGACATTACCAGGCCACTAATACTCCAGAGCTTTAGTTGCTTTATCTTGGCTCTCAGGAAATACTAAATGACAGAGCCAGTAGACTATCTCTTCTTCCTTCCCTTTTCTTCTCCTTCACACTTTTTAAATGAAAAAAATAAATACAATATTACACAAATGGATCCATTAAGCTGCATTTTAAAATTCATGAGATACGTATGCTTGCACCATTTTGAAAGCATGTCCATTAAACTGCTTTTAAGTAGAGAGTCTATTCACCTTGGAAAAATCATTTGAAGATTGGGCAGTGATATTTACTGGTACTCTAGACCTACACAGTCCATTCTGGAGGTGCATATAGTCGATACAGAAAGACAGTTCTGTTCTTTAGCTCATTTCCATGGGCATTTGTAATTCAAATGAACAGACTCTACTCAAGCAGAGATCTCAGTAATAATTAATCTAAGTATTTGAATAAATTACCAGGATTAAGAGAGTGTCCCCCAGCGGCACCATGTGTAATCTGCTGTAAACTCTGAAGGCTATATGCTTGGGATAGGACACAATTCAAGTATCTGCAGTTACCCAAAGTCATAAACAGCAACAAAAGGAAAGACCACCAGCAATACTTCCAAAGCAGCAGGAAATGGTTCTGGTATAAAGCATCATTCATTACATCAAAAGCAGTTGTGCAAATTAAATTTAGCCCATAAGATTTTCAGTCCAAATAAAGAAAGACAGCTCTACTTAGATGTGTACTTGACATTACGTAGGTATTTATCTGACACCAAAGTCATATTTCTGTCTCCTTATATATCTTTCCATCTCACAAACACTAAGAGTTTCTTCCTAACCACCCACATATGCCAAATTAAGAGACAGGAAGCCAAAGCCATGCAAAGGCCTGACAAGCAAGAAGCCTGTGACAAAAGGAAAAAGGGAATCCAAGTATTTGCACTGTCACCTACTATTTAGTCCAGCACCTTAACTGTCTCCCCCTCAAGGCCTACATTTAGACTACTGCACTAGAAGGAAACAGTAAACAAAATTAATCAGCGTGGGGAAGCACTTAGATTCTGTGCAGATTATTTTTTCACTCTTTCTAGCAATGCATTCAAGGCTGTCTCTGTCTTCTGCCGATGGGCTGATGTCTCATTATGAAGCAAAGACTTTTCATCCTCAAGCTCGGCCACTTTGCTTAGCAGTTGGCGTTCCAGGTCTCCAAGCCTCCGTTGAAGCATCTCTCGAAGGTCATTAGGCAGTGCTGCATATGACACGTTGGCTCGGAGTTGGTGCTTTAGGGGAAATGAGAAGAAAAAAAAAATTGTCATTCCTAAAACAGAAACTCTGAAATGCAGATATGCTCTTGATTCAAAGGGAAGAAAGCAAGATCACCGAGTTCTCCAGCAAGTACAAAAGAGGCTTTTTAGCACTTGTCATGTTCAGTGCTTGTATCAGCACTGTAGCTAAACAGGTCCTGAAACAAAAGGGCACTTTCATTAGAGGCTTCCAGCATTTCATATGAAGGAGTCTTCATACATTTAAGTTCAATAAAATCAATGTAGGGAGCCAGGTCTGATGCACTTCCATTAGTATGGGTACATGTGGCACATTAGTAAATTTTGCTTTACTTACTGCAAGTGACATTGTCAATGTAAGTAAACAGAAAAACTTATTTCTAAGTAAAAAATTAAGCTACTTTGAAAGCAAATTTACCAAATTAAAGTTTCCTCAGTTTTGATTTGCAGAGTAAGGAAGTCAGATGCTCTTTAGATCAACTGTAAATATTAGCCAGAGAAAGTATTTTTGTTTAAACAGCAAAAAAAACCTGCACACTCTCTCAAATAACTGGTATCTTTAAGGATACTAAGAAATCAACGGTTCCACCTACCATATTATTCTAGTGAAGTTTCCCTTCCACAGCCCTAAAAAATTGCCTCAAAAAGACTGCAACAGTAATAAAAGGATGTTACACTACTAGATCATTCAAAACTGTACTTGAAAAGCAGTCCAGAGCATTTAGACCACACAGAATAACCTTTAGGAACTTACCATCCTTACATCACCACTGACTGTTTGGAAGACAGCAAGAGGACACACATTTAGCTCTCAGGGTGTGGAAAGCAAAACAACATCCAACATGATTCCTATGAGAATACTCTCTATAAGATATTTCCATGAGCGCCACTCAACCATGGGCCCTGTCCAAAGGCTCACATAAATCACTTATTGGTGGGCTGGGACCAAATCCCTTTTCTACGTACAGGCATACAAAATCAGGTTCTTTTTATTCTATATCAGCTCTAAATACATCATCTTGTCTTCACAACCTGCCCAACACAATCTCTTCATTATCTGTTCGTGCTGTCTGTTCAGCACCACATGCCAAGGTCTTACTGCCCAAGACAACAGCTTTATACCTCAAACTCCATGAGGCCACATTCCCAGAGAGATTTAGACATATTAATAGAGAAACTAAGCTAGTGACAAGCAGGAAAACCATAATCTGCCCCCATGCAGTGGGAGAACACATTCACACAGGAGCCCTTCTGGATTTTTACCATGACAGCAAGCAGATAATCAAGAAAACAAGACAAGCCAACCAAGCAACTCACTCCCAGGGCTTGCTTGGCCAGTTTGGATTTATCTCCATGAAGATTAAGCGCACTAGTTGTGTCCACCCAGCAGCGCAGAGCCCCTGCTGTACGTTCAGCCGCTCCAGGGCTCTATGTGGGTGGGCAGGGGGCTGCCTTGCCCTCCCCGCGCCCTGGCCCTACCTCCAGGCTCTCCAGCCGGTCCTTCAGGGTCTGCATGGTGCGGCTCAGCTGGTCAATGACCTGCGCGGGGTCCCGCGGCAGGTCCCCCATGGTGTCCTTGCCCTTGCCCAGTTCCTTCTTCCACGTCCCCGCGACTGACTTGCCGTCGGCGTTCTCGCAGCGGCTCAGCTTGCCGGTCAGCTCCCGGATGGCCTCCCGCTGGGTCCCGATGGTCTCCTTCTGCTGCAGGACGGTCTCCCTCAGCTGCAGCACCGTGGCTTTC